TGCGTGTCTTGCTGGCGCTGGGTCAACATCGTGCCCTGTACGAGTCCCCTATCCACCATAGTCTTAAGATACTGCGGATAGATGTGCCCCATGCGTTCGTGCCAGCGTTGCAGAGTTTTAACTCCTTCTGGCATCGTGTAATTTGCCAAAGACAGGTCCTCTGGCCTCACAGCACCTCCATTAGAAGGATGAATTGCTTGAAAACACCACGTTGCTACCTGCAGGTTGGCTACAACAACTCGTCGCTCTTCCCAAGATATTGTGATCGTTCGAGTGGCTTGGTCGTACGAACCCTTGCTCATGCGCCAATCCTGGGGAAAACAGTCCAAACTCTGCATCTGGTGCGTAGAATACATCATCAATGAACATGACGACTTTCTCTCCATCAAATTCGTTCACTAACCCCACCGTGCCCATACTAGCGATCTGTGAAATGATGTGTGGTGACAATCCTAGAACTCGCGACATCTGTGTGTTCGGTAAAGGACACAAAGTGAGATCGAAGCCCAGTCACATTTGAGTTAGACGCTGTGTCTAAGTACCACCATGAGCCACGTGTATGAGCTCCTTCTTGACCACCAATCTCTCGGTGCTCTTCCTCAACCTCATTTCCTCGACCAATCGTCATGTTGCTATGATATTACCGTATAGATATTGTAAGATTTGGACATCTTTTGTTGGTGTTGTCAAAATCCAAAAATTATACATCCGTACATACATTCAGTTGAGAAAAGGATTAATCCCTCTATTTTAAGTAACCGTCAGAATACTACGCAACAAGCACGCTTTAGTTATCCCGAAATATTGTAAATTCCGTCCAAAATTGCCGATTTGGGTCTGTTTGAGTCGTGGGAGGACAATCGCTCACTTACAAATCCAAGTCATTAGTAGAACCCACCACGCCTGTTCTTGCCATATGTCAAGATCTTATTTCGTACTTAAACGCGACAGTATACGGAGTTGTATACGCTGGGCGATTTGGGGGCGGTTCATTCAAAGAAACATGAAGAATAGTAGACTATAGGTATTTCAAACTAGATTGGTCCTGTACTTCAGGACAGAGAAAATATAACCTCACGAAAAAATGTTGATACAATTATTTTTTTGAGAAAGGTAAAATTGGAATCAAGACAGGAAATTTTGCGCTCAGTGCAACATGATAATCGCTTCACCACTTCCATGGTACAGAATATCAATTCCTGCGCTATATTCTCATATTTTTTTAGCCATGTTCTTTGGCGCAAAATATAGCCCATGTTCATTCAACAGTCCACACCTCAGCACAGATTCTCCGGATTTATCAGTTGGATAATCAACTTATCAAGCACACTACTAAGACCACGCTAGTGTTGCGAAAAGAAGCAAAACAACCCTAAGTTAGCCCCACGAAGTAATTGTACGATACAGAAAAGGGTAGTGTAGCGATGGTCTCTAGTAGTAACAACAAACATTCTATAAAGCACTTGAA